CTCCTCCCCCATCGCCGCCTGAGGGGGAGGCGGCCACGGCCTCCCCCCCCGCGTCCTGCCGTCGCCGTCATGGCCCAGCGCGACCCCAGGTAGGGCGGCTCGGGCCTCCCCGCCGCCCCGCCGAGCGCAGGTAACCGGGCCCGGGCCGCGGAGACAGGGCGGAGCGGGCGGTAGCGGCGGGGGCGCGCGCGCGGCGGCCGTTGGCGCCGCGACCGTTGGCGCCGCGACCGTTGAGCGGCCGTTGGCCGCCCTGAGGGGCGGGGGCGCGCGCGGCGCGGGCACGAGGGGCCTCCCCGCGTGGCCTCGAGCGCCCTGATGATGACGATGATGATGAAGAGCAAGGGGGGGGGCTGCTGGATTTACCCCATCCCCCGGGACCGTGTCACCTGCTCCCCACCCCCCACCGCGTTTTGGGTGGAAATCGTGGTTTTGCCTGTTGCATTCCCGAGGGAATTTGCGCTGGGAATTGAGCTGCCGCTGCTCTTCCCTAGGGACACCTTGCTGCTCCCCCTGCATTTATAGAGGGTTTTTTTTTTTTTTTTTTTTCGGGAAAAGGAGGGAACTTGTTTTGTCTGCTGTGTCCCGTAGGGCTCCCCGCTGTCCCCTTTTGCCTTTTCCGCCCTCCTTTTAATTCTATTCCCTTTTATGCATGGAAGGCAGAGAGGGAATCCTGCTGGCTGGGAGATGAAACTCGCTGCACCTTCCTTTTATTCTTATGCTTATTCTTTTTATTCATATATATAATGTTTTTATCCTTCCTCCCTTCTACCACCTGCTTTTTCCCTGCCCATCTGCCAGGCTCACCTGTACCCAACCCTATGGCATCTTCCAAAGCTGCCTCATGTTCCGTCCACACATCCAGGGTTATTTTGCCTCCAGTTTGCTGTATTCCAACATAACCATCAGTGTGTGTGGTTGCTGGGGTTATTTCCTCCCCAAATAGCATCTTCTAGCCTAAAAGGCAGCACATCCAACCCATCTCCCTGTCTTGTTCCATGGGACTTGTTGGAGAGGGTATCCTGCCATTCCCAGGTGGATATGTGCCGATGTTTCTGTGTTCCCGGAGCAGGTATTCCCACCGTGTGCTTCCCGGGAGAGGGTTTCTGCAGCCTTGTCCTTGCAGGTGTGTGGAGGTGGCTGTGCTGAGTGGCATCCCTCCATCTTTAGGGGTGTTTTATGGGCTTTCCTTCCAAAAATGCGCCGCTTTCCCTGCTTGAGATCCGCAGGTGACGCACATCAAAGATGGGATGAACGCAGGGATCGTGCCCAGTTTTAAGTGCACCTATGTAAGAAAATATAGCCGAGCAAGCTACCTATAGCCCTCCCGATATAAATACCTCCTTGATGTAAAGCTGTTTATACCCAAAACCAGGGTTATAACCGGAGTTATAGTGCTCTAAGTGTGTCTCCCTAGGGGCTACTTTGATTTAAACAGCTGGTTTTAATCTTAGGCTTTAACTGGTGCAAAACCTCCAGTCTGTCCCTTGCCTGGTGCATTCCCAGCCCCACTTGTCTCTCCAGGTGGATATTACACAGATAATAACTTATGGAAAGGGAGGATCGCAGCTTTATTTCCCACGCCAAGGGTTTCTCCCTCGTTTTGTTGACAGGCTGGGAGAATTTCCCTCTCTGTGACCATGAGGTTGCTGGGGGGAGTGTCCTTAGGTGTTGCTCCTTTGCTATGTAAGAGAAGTCAGCAAGTGAAACTGAATCCCTGCCACCTTTGTTGCAACAGGAGGTTAATCATAAACCCTGGCAGGGTTTAAAAGGGCTTGTTTCGTTCTGTAGTGTCCGCAGTGAAGAGGGAGCTGCTAGGAAGGAGGGTCTGCTCAACTGCTCGCCAAGAGGATCAAAAGAAAATACAGTTTTCCCTGCGTGTGCAGTTGGACGAGTGTCCAAGCGTTATTTTGGGTTGTATCCCGTGACCCAGTTGAAGGCGGCCCATTTGAAGTTGTATTTTTTGCAACTGTGCAGGCTTGTTCATACAGCCTAAACCGCTAGTTTGGACAAGAAAACCACCCTTTGACAAAGTGGTGACGCTTACACCGGTACGTGACGGCGCCGGGAATGTCTCTTGACATCCCCGGAATGTCTGTTGACATATTCCTGTCTTGCCCACTGGTAAGTAGGTTATCCCGGCTCAAATTATGCAACCGTGCCTACAGCCAGACTGGGGGAATTCTCAACATTGAGCATGCCCAGGGCTCGCTCCCAGTCTCACAGGACATCAATTTTGGACAGAAAGTGGCTGTGATTTAATTACTTCATGAAAAAGTGTCATGCGAGATGGCAGGGACAGAACCACCTTCACCCCCAACAGCGTTTCAGTGTAGAAGTGTCTAGTTGATCCATTGTAAGCAGTAAAAATAATGAAAACATGGATTTGCTTAAGGATACATTGGGAGTAGAAGCCGACATGCCTCGCAGTTTGGATGCTTGCTTCTTGAAAGATGCCATTTTTAACAAATAGATAAAATTAAATGGTTGTGTGCTTAGACTAAGTAAACGTTGCAGTCCATTATTCTTAACTTGCTTAGGGTTTCAAGTTGATTCTTCTAATGGTTTCACGGGATGAAAACAAATGTTTGTGCTGCTTTATAGAGGCGCCTAAATGAGGTGATGGGGAGCAAACCCTGAGCTTGATAAAAACCCCTTTTAGTTTCTACTCTGCGCCAAATTCCCCAAGTTTTGTGCAAAAAGATTCCCTGGGTTTGTTTGCTTTAAACCTGATGCCTGGTAATTCCATCGAGTGCCTCCTGCTTCTTGTACTAGGAGGGAGAATAAAGGATCCTTTTCCAGTTGCCGCCTCATTTGCAATTTTATGGATCTTTGGGTTCTCAGTTTTCTCTCTTCTTCCAAGCTGAATTCTCCCAGTCTATTTAGTACATCTGTCTACAGAGGCTGTTCTGTATCTCCTTTTCCCCCCTTTTGAGCTCTACTTTTGAGTCGATCTGACCAGAACATTTGTTTCCTCGCTTAGCCCAAAAAAGACTGAATAGAGGCAGTTTTTTCAGAGTGCCAAGGGATGTTTACTTCTAAATGGACACTTTGTAGCTCATCTGTGAAACTAACGTAAGCGTTTAGTGTGTGTGTTTGTAATGTTTTACATCCCCAAGTGCAAGTGAACCTGCTGCAAAAGCTATTTTACTGCTCTGACTAAGGTATTTATGTTGTTAGGAGCTTCTGCAGTTGCTTTTCCTTTAGTGACTTTATTTTTTTTAGTGGGTAAAGAGCCATGTTAAGACCTGCTCAGGGCAGTTGCTGGGAAATGTTAGTGAAAAGGTTAAAGAAGGTTAAAAAGAAAACAAAAATCCCTTTAGTCCCAGCCTTGGCCAAGGAGAGGGTTCCTCCAGGCTGGGCTTTGGGCATACATGGGAAGTGGAAAGTCTTGCGTTGTCACTGGTCATCTGATACCTGCTTGTGGCTAAATAAAAGGGTTTTCAGGGCCAGGAAGAACTCCTTTTTTGGGTATTCAGCTTCACCTCCATAATTGAGTTATTAGGAAAATGAAGGGTAAAAGGGCGCTGACACAACCACATTCCTGCCTTGCTCCGACTTGTTGGGGATTCTTTACAGGCGCTTCCATTTCGAAGGTGGCTGCTTGGCCCTGTGGCGGGGACACCCAGACGAGCTGGCTGGGGTCTCCGCTCTCCTTTCCCTCCTGGGGTCTCCACAGCGAGCAACTTGGCCTCCATCCCCTTTGCTCCTTGCACAGGTTTTCCACCCCGCTGCTTGTCAGCACAGGCTTCTCCTCCCCCCGGCATTACTGCGGCGGCGGGGAGAGTTCAAATTTGCATTGTGCTTCGGAAAAAAATGCCTTCGTTTTCATTAACCTGCATTCCATGGATCAAGCTGCAACCCTTACTTCCTAATCCGGAATAAAAGCGAAGGAAAAGTGTTATTTCTTGTCTTCTGCAGTAGTGCTACTAGGGATATCTTGAGTTATGCCACAATATTTTGGCACAAAACATGCTGCTTTCCTTCAGATATCTTTCACATGGTACTTCCTAAAAAAAGGAGTTGGGGATTTTGGAGGTTTTATTAGCAGTTTAGAAGGGCAGTTGGCTCGAGTAGTTTTTTTTCTTTGAATTTGTTGATATGCTCCAAGAGCTTCTGAAAGCGATGACTGAAATGCTATTGGTATCCATGGCAAAAACGGGAAAAAAATAGCTTTCTGGAATTAGTTGAAAATAGGAGGTTGCTTCCATGTGACAAATAAAAGTGCTTTATGGATATTTTTCAGCAATTCATAGCACTTAGACGGTTCTGATGTTTAACTTGTGTTTTTCCAGCTATTGCTTTTGCACATATTATTCGTGCAACGTGGAAGAATTACTTAAACTGGGACTTCCTTAGCATAAACTTCACACTTTATACTGCAGTTTCAACAAGTTATATCTGGGGTCTTTGCAGTAGAGGAGCAAAATATTCAAACTTCAAATATTCTGACTGAAAGTTGGAGGGAACTCATAGCTAGAGAAAACAAGACTTTAAAAGGAAAAAAATGCCATAGCATAAAACTATAGTCAGAATATTGTGCAGTTTATGTATGGCACACTCCTCTCTACTGCCTTCATTATTGTAATCTCTTTATTTAATTAGATTTTGTGATTAAGAACTACCTTGCTGATTAGCACCTAATGTGTGTGCATTGCCTTTAGCTGCTACATATTTTTATCTGAAATTCTTCTGGTGAAGTCAAATGATCTGAAAAGATCATTTTTACAGACCTCTTTACAGACAAGTTAAGGGGCTGGTGCATTGAGGGGGAGGAAAAAAACATATATTAAAAAAAAAAAAAAAAACTTTAAGGCGGTTAAAGACAAATACCTGGCAAAAATGAGGTATTAAAATAGTCTGGTTAGGCTCTGGGTCATGCTTTAAAATCTTTCTCCGTAGTCAATTTTAACTAATTAACTTCCAGAACATAGCAGAAGCCTGTTGTTAACCCCCTATCATATAATCCTGGGGCTTAGATTTTAAAATGTTCCCCAGTAAATGCCAATCTGAAGGGGGAAAAATAAGGCATTTTTTTTCTGAAAATGCTTAGAAAAAAGCATTATCTTTTTTTTCTGGGGGAAAAAAAAAAGCATTATCAAGTTAGTTTGGCACACTTTACCTTCAGTAAACACAGGTGGCATCCCATTTTCTGTTTGTTTGTTTACTTTTCCTTCTTCCTTTTCTTCAGCCTGCCTTCACTTTGCCAGATTCCCACAGTTATATACAAACAGCGTATGCATCACTGCTGCTGTTTGACAGAGCAGAACGTCTTCATGTTTGTAAATAATCAGCCTTTCAGCACTAAATATTTGGGGACGAATTTAATACGGGGTTAGCGTTGCCAAACTTTCTGGCAGGTGCATCCCACAAAATGGGACTGTTTAAAAAATACAGGTTTGCACTAAGGTTAAACTCTCTTGCAAGCTTGAGATGGATCAGAAGAAAGTCTGGTCCTATAGGCCATATATATATATATATATATATATTAGAGGTGATGAGGGACAAGAATATATCCAAAAGTATCACTTTCATGGGGAAAGGACAATGAAGAGCTGCACAAGGTGGAATGTGGCTCCTCTTGGGCTTTATGGATGTGGCCTTGGTGTCTGTAACCCCTTCTGCGCGGGCAAATGACTTAATTCTGCCAGCTGCAGCGGTTGGAAGAGGTTTTTCTCTGATTTCCAGCACATTTTGGGGCTTTCAAACAGATGTTGTCTCTAAAGGATCCAGTGAAGATGTGAAGTTCTGTACTGGAGAACTTTGGAGACCTTTGCAAGCATGTGAATGAGGAGGACGAGTGATTTTTATGGGCTCATCTTGCTCAAACGAAACAGAAGGCTCAAGGAGTTAGGGCACAGTGGCCCAACACAGTATGTGTGTTTTAAATGATGCAGGATTGATAAATAGCTGGGAGCTCTGACACCTTCTAGATTCAGGACCCACCGGGAGGTGGAAGACATCACCTTGCACAAAGGTGGTGACAAACACTGAAATTTTGAGGTTCTACTCATGCAAACTTGGCTAAATAGTCAGGATTTCGCTATCATACATGAGAGGAGAGAAGTCTTTGGTTGTTACCTGCTCTCTCATCCTTCCTTTAAAATGTATATGTAAAAATTTGTAACCATTTTCTAATTTTATCCTTCCTAAATTATTGTGTTGCAGCTGACCCTATGATCTCAGTTTACAATAAAGCTGTTTTGTAGAATAAATTGCACCTTTGGGCACCTTGCTCATTGTCTGGGTGCTTTCACCAGCTCCAGGCGTCAGAATGAGATTTGCCTGGTGCAGAGCTCCCTTTCCCGTCATCAGTGAGCTGCTTTGCTGCTGGAGTGTCCTCAAGACTGAGAGGCTCTCTTCCATGAGAACAGGCTCTGCATGTGTAGAGGGTTGTCCCAGGAAAAAAAAAAAAAACAAGATTTTTCTAAGCACCATGTAACAAAAACCATGATTTGAGCCCTAACATAAGGGCAAGAGCTGGCTAAGATGCTATATCTCAAGTATATGAAAGTAGACTGCTCACATAAGCAAAAATTTCCATTTCTGGTGTCCTTTTTACACAGTATAATATACATTTTCATGTGTTTATCATTCCTTAGCACCCAAACTTGACCTAAGTGTTTAATCACCGTTGCAAAACAAGATGAGCTCTAGTCTGTATGAACCCATAACTGTTTTTAACTGAAACAGTAACCACGGGCTAATTTTTTTGAAAGTCCTTAAAGGTCAGGTCTATATCAGTGCCCGAGGCCACCAAGAGATGATAAAAATGGGAATGGAACCATTTAAAAACCTGAATGCTTAAGCTCTTACTGCCTTATTAAATGTAAGAAATTGCTATTTTTCCCCATCTGCCAGCTTTTTGGAAAATAAGGTGCATACATGTCCTTTCCACACCAAAAGAGCCACTTGTTTGAACGGTGTCAGTGGAAGGAAGGAGAAAGTCACTTTATCCGAGCGTCCCAAGGCAGCAACGTCCCACATTTGTGGCAGGCGGGACTGTAACACAGTTAAATCAATGTATTGCAAAGCCCTGGCTTCCCTTCTTGTATTTTAAATTCTGTAACCAGATCAAGGTCAAGGAAGTAAAGAGATGAGAAGGAAAGGAAGCCAGAAGAGGGGAGAGGCGGGCGGGAAGAGGGAAGCGGGACGAGGCACTTCGGAACCTGGATCTTTGATGCCTCTTGAGGTCAAGGTGTCTCTTTTCACTGAGTTTAACATCTTCCTCTACAGCAGCCTGCAATTTTATTGAAATCCAAATGACTCTCACAGTTCAGCTCTGACTTTTTTTATGCAGTCTGGTGCTAAATCACTCCATAAAGTGCAAAGGGAAGCAGGAGGGTAATGGGAAGAACCTGCTCCGAGAGCTTTGCTCGCTCCTGCACATTTAAGCAGATCCAAACCAACGTCATCTTCGCCTAAAAATCATTCAGCAAAGTCCCTAGTGTGCAAGAATCAGGAGCAATCGATTCCCAAGCCCAGAAAATGATCTTAATAATAAAAACCAGGTTTCTTGCACAGGTGATAGTTGCAAAGATGCTTTCTTTTTAGTGTTACAGGCACTTGATGATGCAGGCTGGATCCTAAAAAAGACACAGAAAGGCAACCTTGGAGTATTCTGCTGCAGTGGAAAAGCCTTTTAATGATGTATTCACTTACCTCTTGCTTTCAGAGATGAAAGGTGCTTTAACGTGAGTAACGGAGTGTTTTCCTTCTCTTTTAGGACACCTGTGATCTCTTGCATGCGGAAAGAACGCTAGCCAAAAGCGAGAAGATGGGTGTAAAAACATTTACTCATAATTCCCCTGCCCATAGCCAGGAGATGCTGGGAAAGCTCAACATGCTTCGCAACGACGGCCACTTCTGCGACATCACCATCCGTGTCCAGGACAAGATCTTCCGGGCACACAAGGTGGTTTTGGCCGCTTGCAGTGACTTCTTCCGCTCCAAACTCGTCGGTCAAGCTGAAGACGAGGGTAAGAGCGTGTTAGACTTGCACCACGTCACGGTGACTGGCTTTATACCCCTCCTGGAATACGCCTACACAGCAACACTATCCATTAACACCGAAAACATCATCGACGTGTTGGCTGCGGCCAGCTACATGCAGATGTTCAGCGTGGCCAGCACGTGCTCCGAGTTCATGAAGTCGAGCATTTTGTGGAATACGCCCAACAGCCAGCAGGAAAAAGTGCTGGACGCTGGGCAGGAAGGCGGCGCCAACTGCAATTTCACGTCCCGCGACGGCAGCCTGTCCCCCGTGTCCTCGGAGTGCAGCGTCGTGGAAAGAACCATCCCCGTGTGCCGCGAGTCGCGGAGGAAGCGCAAGAGCTACATCGTGATGTCCCCCGAGAGCCCGCTCAAGTGCAACACGCAAACCAGCTCCCCCCAGGTGCTCAACCCTTCCACTTCCTACCCCGAGTCCAGGAGCCAGCCTGTAGACTCCTCCTTAGCTTTCCCCTGGACTTTTCCCTTTGGAATTGACCGACGGCTTCAGTCCGAGAAGGTGAAGCAGGTGGAGAACTCGAGGACTTTGGAAGTGCCCGGCCCCTCGGAGGCGACCCGGCGCCTTTCCGATTACGTGGCCTGCGAGAGCACCAAAGGCAGCTCGCCCCTCGTCATCGAGGAGGACGTGCGCGTCAAAGTGGAGCGGCTGAGCGACGAGGAGGTGCACGAGGAGGTCTCGCAGCCCGTCAGCGCGTCCCAGAGCTCGCTGAGTGACCAACAGACGGTCCCTGGCAGCGAGCAGGTTCAGGAAGATCTGCTCATCAGCCCCCAGTCTTCCTCTATCGGTACGACCCGTTCCGGGCTTGGCTCTTGGCGCAGACAGACGTGTTTGCGCCAGACTAAAACCTTGTGTAATCATAGTAAGATTTGCAAAATAAATGGGGGAGCGCTGACATCTAAATGTCCCAGACAAAACCCAAAGTCATAATACTAAGAATCTTTCCATTTCTGTCGCATTTGCCTCTTAAGATGCTTCTCAAACCCGGCCAAGTGCCGAGCACGACTTGTTTTTTCCATGAAACACAACTTGAAACTTGTTTGGGGCTCTCTCACTTAATAAAAACCGGCCCGTTGTTTATTAATAACTAATATTTAAAGGTTGCTCCTCCTTGCTCGGAGCGCACCGTGTTCCTAAGTCAGAAGAGAGACACTTGACATTATTTGTAGTTTAATTACCCAAATTTTGCACAGCTCAGCTCTTTTGCTTCGGATTAAGTGGCTTGACCTGTGCTCAGCGGCGGGTTTGTTTACTGAGAGATTCCTAATAAAGCCTCTTTTCCTCGAGAGCCATAAGCACGGGGAAGGCGCTCGCTGGAATGATGTCTATGTGAAAAACTACTTCAGTTAATAAAACAAATCGAATAATACAAAATAAATAAACGTAGCCTCATAGGCCACGTTATTGTTTTTGTCTGGTTAATGGGATGCCGTACAGAAGGCGAACGTTTAATCAATCTGGTTGTGCTGGGAATGCAGTATAAAACTAAATACTATGCGTGTGTGTGTATATATATATATATCTATCTCCTAATGCTCAAGTGCCTCTTACTGAGGATCTTAATACAGCTTGTTCTTCCTTAAAAAGGCGACAGCGAGAAAAAGTGATACGGACCCTAAGTCCTGCTAATCTGTTCTTTGTCTTTGAATAAATTGGAGTTATTATGTAGTGTTCTTTGCATAACATTCTTAACTGTCTTGATAATAGGTTTTATTGCCATTTTGCCATAAAGGGAAATAAAGCTCTTGTTTTTTTCATACAAGTTCACACATAGCAACTACATGATAAGAGTCTCTTTGCATCTCAGAAAGTACTTCTCACCTCCCAAGGATGTATTTCCTCATTCAGTAGTGTAAGAACAGTAAATGGAGCCAGAAAGCTATGTTGAAATGTGGCTTCCTTTTCCCTCAACGTATTTTCTTTATATAATTGCATATATTTATCTGAGTGTTTTACAGTGCATTTAGAAAAGCGTTGCTGCTTTTTGATATTACAGGGAGCTCTTGCTCACTTTTGGGGCAATTTCAAGAATTGTTCATTTGCAGTTTCTTATATTTTGCAGTACTTTATGATAGGGAGGGAGAGATGGCACGGGCCTTCATAAATAAGTCATTATGGCAACAACAATAAGCACATTTGAGAAGATATTTTCATAACTTGTTAGCGACGTTCACTCGAGAAGTGAAGCCTTAGAAATAAAATTAAAGGCAATTGGCAGCAGCAAGGTTGGACTCTTCATTGTTCATGAAATAGCGCCCTTTAAGTAAAAGTAATTTGTCTTTATGATGTTAATTTGGGTATGCTTGGAAAGCCCTCATTGTATTTGACATAGATGATCTTCGTTTTCTAGGTGTGCCAAATATTTGCCATATATTGAGTCTTATTCAGGAAGCAGTGTCAGGCAGCAGTTTCGAGCACACTCTATATGTATTTATTCACCCTGCGACCCTTATTTTGTATTAAATTGCCTTTTGTTGTGTCCTTTGCCTAGGCTCAATAGATGAGGGTGTCACGGAGGGATTGCCCACACTCCAGAGCACCTCTGGCGCCAACGCTCACGCAGATGACGATGATCGGTACGTACCAAAGCACGGTTCCTCCTGCTGAGCTCTAACCAACCTGCCCAGCCTTAACCTCACAATATTCAGCTCTTCTTACATGAAATTCTCTGTGCTGATCACAGAACAATCAGTGCCCAAAGGATCAGCTGCTTTAGAAAAACGTAGGTGCTGAAAGTCACCGTTTTCTTGGTTGCTTCTCATTTCCCGCACGTTTCCCGGCCACACCGGTGCCGAAAGAGAGCCCCGTTTTGGCTCTTCCTTCCCCACTCTTTATGAACAAACAGCAAAGCTTTGTTGGGAAGCAGGTGTGGTTGTTGCCTGCATACTACAGCTGACACAAAACCACAAAAGCAACAGAATCAAAACATGTACCTGGGCTTGGCTTCTCCCCTGCCGTAAACCACAGACCAGGCAACCCAGCCTTAAATCTTCTCCCAAACTTTTGAGCGTGCAGCTTTTTTGCAGCCTTTTACCAAGGTGCCCTGTCATTCTGTGTAAATATTTAGCTGCCTTTTGCTGGGCTGCGATGAGTGATTTATGAGCTGGCTGAGAGGAGGTGGAACGAAGATTGTTCTGCTTGGTCAAAGATGTGCATAATTCTGGTACCTGCACGTACGAAGGTGCACAAAATTGATCTAATCTCTACGGCTTTGCTTTTGTGGTGCATTATCTATTGTGGGGTATAGCTAGCCCTTCTTTTTGTTAGCAAAACGTATAAACTATTGTCAAGCTGGCTTTTATGGTGTATTTTGGTAGGCAAGTAGGTCTGAATAAGAAGCATGAACCTTTGGGAGTTACTCCAGAAACTGTGTCAAGTGAAACTCCCTATAGAGATAACTATCAGGAGCTGCGTTTTTATTGCTCCAAAAATCTCGCCTGCCATTTCTGTCTGAAACCTGCCCTATTGTAGGATTAAATCTGGAGGGAAAATAACTGCCTAGAAAAGAGTTTGTGTGCGACAAAGAAGATTTTCACCACCTGCTACCTGCTATTGTACAAACCGCAGTATAAAAATAATATCCAGCACTTAGAGTTTTGATTGATAACAGAAGCACTTGTTGCGTTAGAACTAATCCCATTTTTTTTAAAGCTGTAACTCTGAAGTTGCATATGAGCTTTCAGCGGTGGATAATTTGGGAAATTTCCCTTAAAATTGCAGAACTTCAACAAAAGTGGCCGAGAAAATTCCAAGTATATACAGGCTTTTTATGCACTGTGAAATTTCCCACTAAAAGCCCTCTATTTGCCCTGGTTTATGCCCAAATTGGAAAATAATTAGCTTCAGAATAAAAGCAACATCATCAAAATGAACTGCAATCTGTGCGTTGTTTATATAATACTAAGGGAACTAATGTGCATTTATGAAAAATGTGCACTCTTGAACTAAGATTTTCCTGCAAGTGATCTATTTTATAAGCTTCAATGGAAGTTAGAAGACAAGACTTGTGCCACAAAGCAGTTACAGAGGTAAAATGGTGCTTTCCTGGCCTAAAAAGCTGTTTTTCCCATGCCTGTGTGTGCAGGCCTCTCGGGAAGGGACAGCACATTCTGCTGGGACAGCCCCTTGAGCCTGTTGACTCTTTGGTTCCGATTTCCAGCCCGGGATGGGGGCATCAGCAGATAAATCTGGCCCGACCTTCTCCCCGCGACGTTTTGGCCTCCTATCTGCAAATGAGATTATGCAGGATCCTGAATAGGGGCCAGCATCGAGCTGCAGCTGAAGCAAATTAAAACCCAATCAACTTATCGTCCAGATGCAGAAAAAAATCCCTCTTTGCAGAAAAAAAAATCCCCTTTTTTGCCTGTTTTTAAAAGCATTTTCATTTAAGTCCCACAGCTTGCATGGCTTTATTACTGTAAATTCTCAAAATGTCATAACTGGCTCTGAGTGGCCAGTGCAGGTTTAGATTGGAAGCCCCATATATTTGAATATACAGTCACCTTATATGTATTCCGAACACAAAACAATAGTCCATCCAAAAGCCTCTCAATCTGACACTCTCTTCACTGTGGAAACAACTGTAAATATTTTAAAAGCCAGGATGCACTCTTTCTTCCTTCTCTTTGTTAAATAATTAACAAAATTAATTGGTCCTCCTCCATAATCAATTAGTTTCAAAGAGGAGGTCACATGTACATTGTGCAGTGTTTAACAGGCCTTTCTGTTAACATCTTTTCACTCATTTTTCACATTTGGATTGGGATACAGATACAAAATTCGGCTTTGGCTGGATTGCCTTGTTAAATCCCCATTTAAAGAGGAATTGCAAAGGCTAAAATCTAAAAGATTTGTAAGGTCTAATATAACAAGACCCTCCATTTTCTGAAACGTGTCATTTACAAGGAGAGGACATTTTTAGACCCAGTTTAGAGCATACTGGTGGTTGTGTTTGCCAGCATTTAGTTCTGCAGAGTTGGTTATGTTTATAAGCTGTGAAAAGAAAAACAAATGCAAGTGAAATGCTTAAGTATTTTGATTAAAATGTTTAAAATTCCATTTCATCTAACTGTTGCAGAAATTCTGCTAGAAATTAAACAAATTCAAATCTTAAGTCCCGCATTTCATGCAAATTGCAAGTCATGGGAAGTTAAGTGAATATATGGGGGGGGGAAAGAAGCAGGGGAGAGAAAATACAGCTGTATTTTAAATGTAATTTCTTCATTGCGTTAAGGTCCTCAGATTTGCCACCAATAGGTATTTCAGCCTGCTTGCAATGTAAGGATGTCACTGGCAGCAGGAGAGTCCCATGTTTCCCATTTTCTTTCCTTTAAACGTTATTCTTAAAATAGGAATTTTTAACAGAAAACTGAAACATTTTAATTTCCTCCGTCCCCATAGTGCTGCTTCCCTTTCTTGTTCATAGTTGCCTCTTTTTTTTTTTTTCCTTACAATATCTGTCTAATCCATTAGAATTTAGGGAAGTAAAATTGCTTTGCTCTGGCCACGGTAGCTGTCACCCGCAGGGAATGTTTGTGGCCAGAGCAGATCCCTGCTGCCAGTGACGCCTGATCCGAGCAAGCTGAAATATCTATTACAACCAAAATAAAAACCCTAAGGATTTTATTCCTTCCTCAAGGAAGGGAAGTCCCAGGTAAGTTCAAATTCCTGATGTTTTTCTGTTTGTACCAGCAGGGTGATTTTGATTTGACTCTGCCCTTCAGTGAAGGAAATAAATACCTTGCTGGAGGACTTGGGTTCCCACAGTGTAGTTCCATTAACCAGTTTACAGCTGGAGGCTATGCAGGAGCAATTAGTCAGTTTGAAGGAACTTATTTGAAAGTTAAATTATTCCTTGTTGCAGCCTCTGTGCTATTTCTTTAGTGCAGCACTCGGGCTATTCACACAGGCTTGGCTCAGATCACAAGCGAGTATCGATTAATTAGGTCCATATTTTCAACCTAGGAATACGTAATTGTGGATACCAGCGATTGCTCAATGAGCTTGGGTGGAAATTAAAAATGGATCTATTTTAATTTCCTCTGTAAATACCACTGACAGTGCAAATGCTTTTGAGTGTGTTCGGTTCTTTACATCTCTGGGCCTATTTGCTGCCTGTACATCATTGATATGAAAAAAATACCTACACTTGCTCAGACCTAAAGAATTAATTTCGGTTTGCAGCTGATATTCAGACCTTTCCCCCCCCCAAAAAAAAACAGAAATTAAAGATTATTCTCCGTTTCTGATCAGATGTACAAAGTATGAGACTTCAGATGCAGGTCAGATTTGTAGCTCAGAAACAGAACTGATTGAGATCTTTTTTCCCTTCTCCCACATCTAGTTTCCCGCTTTTCCAGGAATAAGACTGCTTGTTTTTCACCCCTGCCTTCTTGTAAACCAGCCAATTTTCTCTTTGTAGTTTGGAGAACGTTCAGTACCCCTATCAACTCTACATTGCTCCTTCCACCAGCAGCACGGAGAGACCCAGCCCCAACGGCCCTGACAGACCCTTTCAGTGCCCGACGTGCGGGGTCCGCTTCACTCGCATTCAGAACCTAAAGCAACACATGCTTATCCACTCAGGTAAGAAACACTTGCCACATTGCTGATCCTACAGCCCCACTGAGGTTTGCTCCCTGGGCAGCATTGCTTTTGCACTCACTTGCCAAACACTCAAGAGTTGGTTTTATAAATCACTCCCATGATGAAATGTGAGATGAAAGGAAGTCTAATAATTGGCTTTTTTATTATATTAAGTGGTGTAGATTGATACCTCTTCTTAGATGCTGTAATTGTCTCCTGTGTTATAGAGGAGACTCCCAGCCATAAAAAAAATACTGTTTATCCTACATGCTTAGGTTCAAGAATGTCGCAGGCTTCTGAGTCTCACAGTTTTGGGGGGATTTTAGAACAATTTATTTGGTTTGATGCCCAATTTAGCCACTAGAGATAGTGCAGGCAGCAAAAGGCATCATTTTCTTTCAATGGCAGCAGTTTTTTGTGCAATCCCTTCAAGCAAAATAGCCACAACTCGGGCTGACGTGACCACTGGCAACCCCTGGGCACGGCTGGGAAAGATCTGACCGGGGGGGGGGTTAGAGAAAACAGAGTGCAAAGGAAATTCTGAAATATTGCAAAAGTTGAAAGTGTTTTCACATAAGCCAAAGGGCTGAGGAGATTTTCCTCCAACTTTACGCAGAAATAGATGCCCTTGGACAGTCAGCAAGCCTGGAAAGTTTCATATCCACAGGGGAATATTTTAGGATATTAACTTGTTTCCACATGTTTAGAAAGGAGTTTCACTGTAACCTTAACTGCAACTTTCGCTATATAAAAGTCCCAATTAAAGTTTCAGCTCCTACTTTGGACACAAGGAAAGCAGAGTGAAAAACTAACAGCCTGCAGGGACTGAGGCATATTCAGCCCTTTGAAGAAAATCTTTTTTTTTCCCTCCTTGACATCTCTGGTATGAATTGAGTTTCCAGTCCCAGATTCTTAGTCTTGTCTTTGGATTTCTGGGATTCAGACTTTTTAGTCACTCTTCCCTTGCCAGTGGTTTCAGTTCTGCTTGGATGTGATTTCTTACTGCAACATGCTGCAAAGCCTGTGTGTTTGAGGGGTTTATTGGTTTGTATAATGAACCAAAACCGACATTTCTAAATTAATACGAGCCAAAAAAAGAAAAAGAGAGGCACAAACGTACACATCTTAGCTGCCTGTCACGCCAAGCTGCTCAAAATTGGTGTTTTGAAGGGTTCCCACACACTCTAAAGGCTGCTACTTCACCCTTTTGTCACCATTCCTGCTGCATTACAGGGGCAGTGCTGCCAAAACGCTTCTCGGGGGCCAGAGGCAGCCAGATTAAGACGCTGCCATTAAGGGCAGCCTGAAAAGTGCCTTGTTGGGAGGCTATCTGGCAGAGGCATCTTGCGGGATCAAAAGGCTGGAGATGCCGGCAGCATCCAATGGATTTTAGCCCTGTCTCAGCACCGTAACCATAGCCTGATCCGTGAAAACGCTCCAAAAGCAGCGTGAGAGTTAAAACATGGACCACACTGCCACAAACCCTATTGGCTTCCGAGTAATCATAGCTAATTATTTCCAAACAAACCAGCCACCCTCTTCCTAACGCGGCTCTTTACTCGGGCCTCCCTTTTGCTGCTGCAAATCCGGGATGCTGGCGGCGCCCTCCGCGCGCACGACGGGAACGTGTCCGCTCTCTCTTCCGCAGGCATTAAACCATTTCAGTGCGACCGCTGTGGGAAAAAGTTCACCCGCGCTTACTCGCTCAAGATGCATCGCCTGAAGCACGAAGGTAAACGCTGTTTCCGGTGCCAGATATGTAGTGCCACTTTCACTTCCTTCGGGGAATATAAACACCACATGCGGGTTTCCCGGCACATTATCCGCAAGCCTCGGATTTACGAGTGCAAAACATGCGGCGCCATGTTTACCAACTCTGGGAATTTAATCGTTCACCTGCGGAGCTTGAACCATGAAGCGTCAGAGCTAGCAAACTACTTCCAGAGCAGGTGAGGTGCACAGCAAAAACCTAACAGGGAAACGTGCTTTTGATTTATTTTTCTCCCTTTTCTCCTTTTATTTTTTTCCATAAATCATCTTTTCCTGCTTTCAGGGCAGCCTGCTGTGCCTCTCATCAGGTTGCCAGCTAATTCCAGTCAAATTCATTCTTGCACCACTATCTGTTATATCTGTTTTGCAGCGTAAAAAAACGATCTGTGAGGGCACTGAAGAATCCAGTGATCTGTAGAAGCTGCTTCTGGGCTACTTATTTCTCTTTTCAGTAGTCTCTGTGACCAGGTTAATGGTTTTAAGCCATATCCTTCTGTACGTGGGGTTCTGTAAATGGTTTAAGGTCCAGATGTTCCCTATTCGTTCACACAGGCAATTTAATTTTAAGTGTTTATTTGGTAGGTGAATACCATGGAGAGGTGACATGACTCCACACTTGCCTTAGAAATGCAGAGCAAAATCTGTTGCGAATATTCTAGCATCTGCAATAATCACACACGTGATTTCTAGACGTGATATTTTGCTCCCTACAAACCAGTTCAGCAGTTTCTTATTTGGTCCTCTTGGAAGCGATACAGAATGAAGGAATTACCAAACAAACTAGGAAAGCCAGTCACTGTATTTTTTTTCCAGGCGAATATTGTTTAAAAGTACAAGTGCTCCGTAGCTGGGGGCTTACGTAGTTCTGGCCCTTAGCACTTGTGCCAGAGCTCAGAGTGAAAACTTTGCTAAGAAATGATGCCATGGCTGTGGTAAGCACTGTGTTGTTGTCGTCAGCTTCAAGTGCATGATTTGGGGTTGTTTTAGTTTGGTTTTCCAAACATGAGGTTAGCAGAGCACAGTATTAATTTGCATTTCCAGAGGTGGATGCTTTTCTGCAGAGGGAACCTCCACGGTGGCTGAAGAAAACTTACTGTTTTCAAATACTCTACAAGGGCAAACCAAAGCATGCGAATAAATACGTGGGTTTGTTTGGGGGTGTGTGTGTGTATATATATATATATATGTGCATATATATGTGAGTATCTGCAAAAGACATTTAATTTTCCTCATGTCCTTAATTTGTGGAAGTTTTCCTAGCAAGTTCAGCAGATTTCCTTTTGATAACGTTTGGCCATCACTGAAAAGAGCAAGTTCCAGAACTGGTGTGCAGAGAGAGGGCTGTGAGGCACAGGGAAGGGAATGAAATTCCTTTTTTTTCATGGCAATATGATGGGTGTGCCTTATACTTTAAGCACAGCCTTTGCTTCCTCTTAAGCTTCTGTTTGAAGGTTGAGTGCTCCCTTTTTTTCCAGGGAGCTTTCCAGTGCCACGCAACATTCCCCACGTGAACTTCCATTCTCATTGTGGGAATCCAGTCTAGATGATAAGTTACTGTGTGGGAAATGCAGATGCAAAACAGGGCCCTTCCGAGAAATTCCCCTCGGATCCCCATGGGAATCAGGTTCTAATGCTTGGTGATGATCTTAGGGCATGAGAATCAGGTTCTAATGCTTGGTGATGACCTTAGGGCAACGTGCAATGATTCTTTGTTCTCTGTGCAATGCAATACCTATCTTGTGCGGTGTAACTGATGCAAAGAAACTGATGTATCGGGTATTTATCTGAGAAATGACATTTCTCTTCTGTCCTTTGCCCCTCTTCTAGTGACTTCCTAGTACCGGACTACTTAAACCAGGAACAAGAGGAGACCCTCGGGCAGTATGAGCTAGGGGAGCATGGCTTTGAAAGCAACTCTTCTGTGCAAATGCCTGTCATTTCCCAGGTCTCGTCGACTCAGAATTGTGAAAGCACTTTCCCCTTGGGGTCTCTGGGTGGGTTGGCAGAGAAGGAAGAAGATGGGCCTGAGCAGCCAAAGACTAACGCCACTGCCGAGGCATCCGCGGGTGACCCTCCGAAAGCGGAGCTGTCATCTATCACTATCGAATAAGTCACGGTTTGTTTGCGGTTTTGTTCTTTGGAAAGTGCCTGTGTTTGGTCCTGTACATTTTAATTTAATTTTTTTAAAAACAAAAGTGGGGAGATTTTCCCTTTTTACTTTGTAAGCTACGCCTGAAACGGAAAACTGCAGCAGATGTTGAGTTATTTTTCATGACTGAACGGTTGCTTCTGTGAAACTCTTTAAGACTGGTTGCACAAAAAAAGGTCTTGTCAGAACGTCATGGAAGCTATGATACACTTCTAAAGAAGAACCAGTTGATCCAGATCACTTTCTTTCTTCTTCCACAGTTAGAAGAGCTCCTTAGGTATCTCTTGGTTCTGCCAACCCCTTGCCTAAGGGAAAGAAATGAGAGGAAACCTTTCTAAAATGACAAACAAAAGGATGCATTGGAAACCGTTTATTGAACAGTTTTGCCTAGTTTCGAGTGGATTGCTTTAATCTTCTGCTTATCAAATGACACTTCCTATCTCTGTGCCTGCTGGTTTTCAAAGTGCTTCCTGCAAGCCTTGGCTTAGGGACAGGTAAGCAGCTTTGAAACGAAAGTCACACACTTTTTGAACACACGTTGTCCCTTGTCATCTCAGATGAATCAGTTTTGACAAACCGAGCGATGTCAGGCCAGCTCTTCCTACTTCTTCTCTTCCTTTTAGAAACTGCTTGATGGAATAACCTGTCCGGATTTGCCTACTGTGGTCAAAAAAAGAAGGCTAATGGTGCATTAAGAGCTGATAGGAACGTATAGACACTTAGCATAGCCATGCAAGCCTGACAAACCTCTCACAACTGGATCTTTCTGTAAAAGGGGAACCACATCTGAAAACTGAAGCTTTTCTCAAACTGAAATTCTTAAACCTTGGCCAGATTGTTGGCAGCCCCGGTCACTTCCCCCTATCATGGATAGTGTTATTTTTGCTAATCCCTAAAAGTGAGCTAGAGGGAGCTTACAAATGGGGGAAAATGAGCTCTTTTGTGTATTATTGCACACTTTTTTGTTTATACACCCGCATGTAGAGTTTCTGAGGTTTTTATTAGTCTGTTTTGGACAAAACACGCAATTTCTTCTCTTTAGAGGCCAACTTTCTAACCCACCGGGGGTTGTTTACAAAAAGCTTATATAGCAATGATAAACTGTTCCCGTCTCCAAACATTTTAAATCCTTGCCAACTTTGTTTATTAAAAGCCATCCCTCTGGCTACATGCACCTCTCCAGTAAGCAATAAATTGCAAGGTTTGCAATTTCATTTTCCCATATTTAGAAAAGGCTGCGGATTTCGGCTGCGGGATTTTCGGAGCAGCCATTCCTGTGTTGTCGAGGCCCTTTGGGCCACTTTGCAAACTAAATCAGGAATTACACGAGGAAGTTGGGGGGGTTTATTGCTGCTCAAGTTCACTCAGTGGTTGATGCCAAGTGGCTCTCGCCTACACTCGCCCCACTGAGAGAGTAGATATGACTTGATCTTAATATTGCAAAGGCACGATAATACTCCTGTCGTTTTGAGTCTGCTTTGTAAATTGTCCTTTTTCTACCCAGATTTGCTTTACACAGGCGTGAGGAGGAAGTGAAACCGGTAGAGAAGGAATCACACAGAAGCAGCAGAAGACACAAAAGTCGGATTTTATTGCGAGATCACTTCGTATTCGGAGAGCTGAAGCAGCTCTGATGATCTCAGGCATTTCTACCAATAGCAGACTTGTGTAAGGAAGAAAGCTGATTGCTCTGTGCAAAGAGCTTAAAGGGTTTCAGTGGCTTTTAAGTATTTTAACAGTTTTTCTCCGCTGTGTTTTAGATAAAAAAAAAAAAAACCCACATTTTAGTTAAATAGAATGAGAACAGTCAGCATTTCAGTCCCTTGCACATGACCAGAGTGAAGTTTCTCTGCCAGATCTGGAGGGTGTTTTAGAAACACACTGTAAAGGAAGAAATTCTCAGCTGCCATTCAGTCTTATATGTTTGCGTTTGTAAGTCTGAAACGACTTGGAGGAGAAATCCATTTTTTGGGATGATATACTGGACACTAATGTCCAATTTTTCTTCGTGGGCAGAATTTACAGACCATTTTTCTCCCACTTCTGCTTGCTATAAGTGAGAAGCCAGCGAGACAAGCAAATGCCTTTTGCTGTGTTTTATCCTGAATTGCAGATCTTAAGACGCTGAACTCAAAAATCCAATTTTCATTTTCAGTCTAAGTGCTACACATATTCCCAAGTATATTAGAATCCTTTCTGAGTCTTGCAGCAGAAGGTACTTACACAAAAGACAGTCCCAGAACATATAGAATTAATATGCAAAGATCAGGTAGAGACAGACATCATCTTTTGGTAGAATCTGGTCCTCTTTTTCCCATTACATATTTTACTAAACAATCTACTTGTCATGAGATATGCAAATTCAGAACAGACATTTCTGCCTATTGGGGTTTTTAGAAGATTTTTACAATTTGTGGCAGAAGGCAGGCTGCTTTCTGCATCCCAAAGAGCAATTAAAAAACTAGTTACAGGGACCTTGTAGCTCTAATCTGTTCTTCCTAGAAAAGAAATGATTAGCATCAGCCATTAACACCTTGGTACCAGGCGAGTCAGGAGTTTCCTTGTTCTTTGCAATGTCTTTTCAGCCCTTTAATCTCCGTGTAACATCCCAGTTTTTCTCACTTTTCAATCTGGTTCATCTGCAGGAACAATACAGTTCTTTCAGTTTTGGTTTTTTTTAGAAATAGACCTTTTTTTTTGCAGTTCACCTATGTGCAATGTTTTTTTCCGTGTCTAGTTAATGCATATTTTTCCCCATAGAACTAAATGCAAACTAAAGTATTATTTGGTTTCTCCCCCCTCACTTTTTGGAAGTGCTCTAGAGTGCTCCCCTTCTTCACAGGAGAGATGGAAAACATTAGAACATCTTAAAACCAGTTCAGTTGCTAGTGTTTGGAGTCCTAATTGAGTGAGGTAGATATCTAACTAAGCTAAAAGAAACTTGCCTTAAACTGCATTTGGGATTAAACCTAGATAGATTAAACCTAGCATAGATCATTAGAGGATTTTGATCTCTGCAGTGCATTTCCCCCAAAAAAACATTTTTTTTAAATATGTTTCTATATTTCTGCTTGACAAGGACCATAGGGCCACGGAATCATTGAGTGGTTGAGGTCAGAAGAGACCTCTGGAGATCAACTCAATCCAGACCTGCATGCTCAGCTAGAGCAGGTTGCCCAGGACCTTGTCCAGTTGGATTTGGGCCATTCCTAAAGATGGAGACTTCCCGGGACAACCTGTTCCAGGATCTGACAGCTCTTATAAATTCTCTTTCTTAGGCTTAAATGTAATTTGTGCACATTGAGGAGATCCTGTCCAGGCTGAGCAATCCCAGCCCTCAGCTTCTCTCCATATACCAACCACTCCAATCCCTAAATCACGCATGTAGCTCTTCCAGTCAGTTGGAATTGCTTCCAAATAACCATGAGGAGGACCCTTGGCAGCAGTTTCTCCAAGGAGGAGCAGTCTCTAGTTCATTCACAGGGTGATTTGAGGGTGTTTCCCTTCTGCGTGGCCTCCTCCCATGTGGCTCTGTCCCTTGCCTTGGGAAAAATCCTATCATGTTGGAAAAGGGGGGAAAATTAAAAAACCTCCCAATTCCCCACAAAGAGTGGAAAGCGCCTACGGATTTGGCCAAGGCTTGGATTGGCTTCAGGCTGTAATTCCAGGCTGGGCTTAGCCCAGCTCCCCTTAAAATCCATCGGGCTCAGAGCCAGCAAATCCCGCTCGCCGGGAGAATTCCGGCTCCCGTATTCCCGACGGTCTCGCTGTCCCGCTACAGTTGGAGTTCAGTTGTCAGGCTCGCAGGTACCCATGGCCAATCTCTCACAGTGAGAGATGAGTAGACGAGGTTTTGGAAAACGGTTCTGGGTTCACGTGTTTCTCGAGTCCAAAAGGTGTGAGTTTAACCTTTTTTTTAAAAAAAGTAATAGCTGCCGAGGCAGTGAAATATATTTTATAAAAGGATGATCCCTATATGTCCCTGGCGGGATGGAATTTTCTTGTTTTTAAGCTATGGTTTCACGTTTTTATACGAGGGCTTCAGGCGCTCCTAGGTTGCTGGCTTTCCCCTCCAGCCCTAGGGCCTACAGAGCTTTGAGACTCGTGCGGTCTCCCTCTCAGACCAACCATGAAGTGGTTTATATGCAAAATAAGACGGGAGCTTCATGCACCCTGCAGGGATGGAGGAAATGCAGACATAGGAGCACCCGTTGTTCCCAGATCCGCCGCGACTTCCACGTGGCAGGAATACGGAAAATTGCTAATTTTCATCCCGATCGATTGCGTTCGAGTTCTGCTCACAAGGTGGAACCCGGTTTTGGAGGGTTCCCACCTCCGATTTGGGACATAATTCCATGGCAGATCAGAGGGTTCCAGGCGAGGCTGCTCCTCAGCCACATCAGAGCTCCCCAGCACCCAGAGTTGCTCCAGAGCATCAAAGAAATGTGAATTTTTTCTCCTAATGCAACGGTCCTTCTCGCTCGGGGCGGGTTGTATCGCGATAATCCAGCGTCCCACGGGTCTCACCTGCAAATCTGCACTACCCAAAGAGCTGCATGGGGTGCTGGTGCCGCCGGCCCGCGGGGCAGCTGCACCCACAGTCTTCCTGAGGGCTCCTGGAGCGCCCGGAGGGGAGATTGGATTTTCCCCCTCCCTTCAGCTGATGCATCTTGCGATATTCTGACTATACACCGAGTTACAAACAGCTTCCCTGCCCTGTTCCTGCAGCGCCTCCCCTCTAGGCACTGCCCTACAGCGAACCCCAGCGAGGGGCAGAGGGAAGCTGGAGCAAAAATGTGAATTAAATTATTGTTGGGCTTCTTTGTGCATTTTAGTAACAGTGAAACCCCCTTAACTGTGCCAGTCTCCGGTCACCAGCCGTATATCCAGTCGTCATCTCATCCACAGTTCAGCTTCTCTTGTTGATGCTGGCCCCAGCTAGATTACTTGGCATGTTTATTGACTTAACCTATTTGGGGTTTTTTTTGGGTTTTGGTTTCGTTTTTTAATGTATCCGATGTTTAAATACACTTCACATTTTATATAATACTATCTGGCTATTAGTATTTTTCAGGAACCATAGTTCTTGGTGGCTATATATATTTTTGTGACTTTTTTTGTAAACTAAGTGCCGTTTCAACGTTACAATCATTTTTAGAGTTATTGTAATCAATGTGAATATCATGGTTTTTTCAAATCTGTTCTGAGCCTGTAGTGTTTGCTTTGTGATCATATGTGTAATGTATATATTCTGTATAGTTACATTGTATTGAAATACTAGCTTGTTTGATATAAGAAAAGTATGTATTGGGTACCTTTTTGCTAGCCTGGTTGTTTAATCTTTAAAAAAAAATGTTCTAAAATACAAAAAAAAAATCTCCAAACCAGTCCCGTTATAGGTCAAAATTAAGGGGGGAGAAAAACTAGTTTTGAGTGTCTTTGGATAGAAACATGAAGCTAAGATTTTTCATTAAAATATTAATGTTTTATGGAGTACATCCGTGCTTTGTGTCGTTATTTAATTACACGAGGGTCTCTCTTGCAGCACAAAAGGCTCTGTTTGACCTTGTGGAAACTCTCTTAATAGAGCTACATTTTCTTATGACTTGTGCTTATAATTAGGCTCAAAGTAGTTGGATACGATGAGAACCCGCCGGTGCTGAAGCTGTTTCTGGAAAGAATATAATTTAAAACAAGATAGATAGTAATAAATGATGGAAGAGGCTACATGAGTAAAGAGTATTAAGAATAAAGTACACGTTGCTGTTTGAATTTTCCATTGTATATTACATTTCCCTGTGTTCATGTTCTCTTTTAGGCTCTCTTCTGCAAAGGCAGTGAGGTTTTATTGATGGAAAGCCAGCCAAGAACCAGCCTAATCAAATTAGTCAAAGCAGAAGATGTTTAAAAAGGACAAGAGAGTCATCGTGATCGCAGCTGCGAGCTCCAAAATACTCATGAAACAGCCTAGAGTCATGGGACTTAAAATACCCCTCTGCTGTTTGCTGGCAACCTTTGCAATTAAATTAATTTCCCTCCTACAGTTCCACCTGTCCGACCAAGCTGGAACACAGGCTGCTTCAACACAGAGCTAGGGCTCAGGTAGGAAAATGCAAGTTTTGTAATTGCTTGGCCAAAATGATGGTATCTCTGCCCAATAACCTCTGCTGCTGGGCCCTGGGGCCCTTTCTAAACAAGCCCCTCTGTCTCGGGGAGGAAGGCCTTGCAAAAAAGGGTCTTCATCATAAGGAAGCAGGCAGATTCCATAGGCTCTTTTTGGGGAGAAAAGAGGTATTGATGATACTGAAGCGTATTTTTCCCCTTGGCCTTTCTTCACACAAGACACTGACATTTGCCAGACCATTTTTAAGAAAAATGCAACGTCACTTACAGAGTTCTCTCAAGTATGAAGCAGAGCCAAATAACTACAGGGCTTATTCTCCTACATGAAAATACAGTCCTTAATTATTTGTTGGTTTAAAGCATTTAGGTCTGCAGTGCAGTGTGGCTTTCAAGCTCCCGTGGACACAAGATACCTGTGAGAAGACAGAAAATGAGTGGTTAATGTGGATGATTTTAATTCCTTGCAGTCCAGGAAGGATTCCCAAGGTAAATAGCCCGAAAGGGAATAAAAGGAATGCTGGGAGGAAAGCAAAGAAACCAGGATGTGTTTAAGGGATCACAGAATCACAGGATGTTTAAGGTTGGAAGGATGGCAGGTTTAAGGTTTAAGGATGGCAGAAAAGACTTCATTGCAGGATTGTACTTGTGAGTACAGGTGGAAAGGACATTCTGACACATAAAAGGAGAAATTATCACTCAGGATAATACTATATATAGTGTGTGCATGTATATATATATGTATATATATATATATACATATACTCTGTCACTCAAGGGTTACAGCTTGTGTATTAACGGGGAGCACGGAACAGTTTTCGGAGAGCTGGGAAGAACGGGAAAGAAGAGACACCAAAGCCCAGCTTAATAGACACCAGAGCTTAGGAAACCAAAACATCTCTCTGGGGCCGCCCTTCGTCCCACAGTTTCAATGAGAAAAATAACAAAACCTTTTATATAACTCGAGTGTTTCAGTGATCATTTGCAGGGTGGCCGTGCCTGCAATTAGAAATAACAGTTATGTAACGGCCTCCTTGATTGCCCTGAAATTAATACAGAGGCAGAACGAGCCAAACAAAAAGAAGAGGCTTTGACTGGTTATGCTTTAAGTAAGTGAAAGAGAATACACCCAGGCCAGCTCCTTTTTCCAAAGGGAACACAAGGCCAGGGTGAAAAATCCGCCTTGAAGAGCAGGGAAGGTGAATTTAATATCCCATGTGAGTTGGATGCAGAATTTTGTCTAAGGGAGAGCGGGAAAAGGGAAAGCTGAGGCAGCCTCGGACATCTTTCCAGGCCAAAAATAAAGCCCCAGGAGGTTAAATTTTATGTTTTGCTCAGCCTTCCCCTCTGGAGACATGAAAAGACTTATAGGAGCTTGATCTATAGCGTGGCTAGGCAGCCGTGATGGGTGCTTTATTAAAGTCCATAGTGATCAAGCTAACACAAACCAGAGCCTTTCCCTGTGGCTTTCTGTAACCCTTTAAAAAGTGATGAATGTTTTGCAGCAGGAGCAGGGGGAAATCTGTAGGTTAGGGTCAAACTGCCTAACACGATAACCAGAACAATTAATTGCATTTAATGTGCAATAGCAGACTCCAGCCTCCTTTAATATATATGGTTTATAATCCAGGACAGATTTCCCTTAAAGCAGGGCTGGGATCAAAAGCAGCTGGAAAGCTATTCCATAGCCATCATCCTATGGCCTATCTGGGGTGGCTTAAGTAGGATTTTTTGCTCCTGTTTTTGCCCCTTTTTGTCTCAGCCCTGCAGGAAGGAGGCATCTTCGGCACTTGCATTCCCATACTGGCGGCGTTTAAATTCCTCCCCTGGAGGACTGTCTTTAACCCAACAATCTGCTTAATTACCCCGAGGGTAACTAAGAGTGAGAAAAAGCAGGTTTTTAGGTTTTTCAAAGCCAAACCAGCTCTCGACTTCTTGCTCTCCTGCTCTCTGTGCTCAGCCACATCCCTGCACCACCTTCTCCTGTATGGACTTCTTTAAGGCAAGGCTAGATTTAGCAGCTAAGTGATTTTTTACCTTCAGAGGTGGTTCCTTAGCTCCATTACAAGTGACTCTGTGCTGCTGACTGGAAAGAAACCTCCACGAGGCCAAACCCCTCTCCAAACAGCACCCAATTAACTCATAACCCCCTCTCCAAATCCCCCAGCCTCCAGAAATGGTCCCAACCAGCCCTTTTAAAGAAGACCACAATCAACTATTGAAGGTTAGAGACCAGTTGAGATGTCGCTCGTGCTTGTCCTGCACAACCAGGAAAACTCTTCCTTTATCCAGGAAAACCAGCCTGCACCCGTGGGTCTGCTCTGCGATATTACAGCTGAGCAGGCAAAACCAGGAGTAAATCACACTGCTTTTTTTCCCCTCCCCTCCTCCTTTTAATAACAATTTACTATTCTGTAAGTGCATGTAAAGCACATGCCCTCTTCCCCCAGCCAAGGAGCCTGACAGCCTGTCAGCAAGAACTACCACAGCCCCAGAGTGACTGATTTACACCAGCCAAGGCACACGTGCCAAGACCTGGCAGCAGCTCCCGTCTTCTTCTCCTTTTTCTTCTTTTCTGCCCTTTTTTTCTTTTCGTAACAACTTGGCAAACCTCTCCCTTCGCCTTCATCCAAACTTTTGCCTTTTATAGTCTTTGAATAACGCTTTTTTTTTTTTCCCTTTTGAATATATGTAGCAGTTTTCCCTCCCTCTTTCAGCCGTTTGCTCTGCTTATCTGAGCTGGCTGCAGGAGGGGATCTTGGCTCCACCACAAGCTGCTCTTGACTTGAGTACAGTCACAAACTCGATTGCACAGAGATGCCTCATTTTATGCCTTGGGTGCCTGTGCAGGGCCTCAAAACATTTTCTTAACTGTGCTCCAACAGTCATAGACCCGTGCACGGTGCCTCCTTGTGCCCAAATTCACTTTGCTTCACCGAGAAATATGCTTGAAGTCACTTCTAGGTTCAACTATGAAGCTCTTTTCCATTCTCCTGTGCTCTGCAGGGACACTCAAGCAAAGAATTGGACAAACTGCAGTGCGTATCCAACCTGTGTAAGGCACCCTGCATAAAAATACAGCCTCGAGGGTAAATTTAACCTGGATTATAGATGAGGTTTTGCTGATTTGCTCTTTCCTGCTCAGGAAGATGTTCTGGGATGGACTCGCACACGATGGGGCAGCCACCCGGATTCTCTGCCACCAGCATCCCCAGGCACAGACAGTGTCTCACACATAAGCCTATAGATTTATGATTTGTTGTGAGAGTGGAAAGCAGCTGCTGCTGCGGGCTAATCAAATACAGCCCAAGATTTAATGTGAAATGGTGAAAAACAGCGTCTGGGAGGAGGGTGAGATCTTCAAAACACGCTGGCCTCGTGGCTTTAGGCCAATACAAGAAGATTTGCACCTGGCCACGCTAAACGTGGCTCCAGAGGAGGCTGCTTCACCCTTAGGCAGCTCTCAGACACGCGGCAACATTTGGCCCTGGGAATGAGCTGGGAATTTCAGGGCCACAGGACCCGGAGCAAGAGCAGCTCCAAGATCTCACCCCCATAAATGCAGAGCCTCTTCCTGCAGGGCTCTCCAAACAGCAGCACTGTAAGGGCTGCGAAGGCTCGGGAATAATTAAGTGCAAAGCAAAGAATCCCCGCTCAGGTTGCTGCTGCCTCACGACACGGGCGATTTATGATGCCCCGAGCAGCTCAAGCAGGGATTATTTTGGTGCAGCTCCCCAGGCTGCTGCTTGGCAGCCCTGTGACCGCCTGGCCTGGATGAATACATCGTGGATTCGAGCTGTAAACGTGGACGAGCTCGGAGTGCTGGGGCTGAGCACAGAGCTGAGCTGCAGCTCGC